GCATAATTACCGTTCCCAGTTGGGGGAAAAAGTAATTTTTGATTGCTGATTAATTATAGGAAAATCCTCGGAGAGAATAATTACCCAAATTATATTTGAGATTTAGTTAAAGTATAAATGGGAAAAAAAACCTCAAAAACGTATTTTTTAAAATAATCATTGAATTTTGGCTAAATAAAATATAATTAGCCAAATTTGACTATGAAAAATACCAGGAGGCTTCAAATACTTGGGCAAAATTTTTTAAAAAAAATCATTTTAAGATTAATGTGAATTTATACCAAGAAAGAAAGGGAGAATTTAGTTTAAAGAATATTTTAAGTGAATTTTACCCGATAATAAGGCATTTTCTTGAAATTTTTGAGGGGAAAAAATACTTAGAGATCAAATTTAAGTCTGAGAAAACTGGGGAAATTACTCCCTAGTAAATATGAGTTTTTGATGGTCTTACATGGGTCGAACGGTAACGAAATCTTCAAAAAGTAGTTTCTAGAGATTAATATCATATTATTGGAAAATTAAGAGTTTATAGCAAGGTAAGGCAGCTTTGGGAAAAAAGGAATTTTTCTCTCCATCAAATACAATGCTGGCGTTGTCTGCAGCGAGGAAAGAATGTAATGCTCTGATTAAAAAAACAAAACATGGTTAATTGTACCATACACAGCACTATGATATGTAGAGGCCGTTCTGGCAAAAGCGCCATAGTCTGATATCACAGCCCATATTATTTACTCTTCCTGGGACTTTGCAACTAGAGTGCAACATTCCTGTGGATTTGTAATTTAAAAAAAAAACTACATATATATATTTCGTTGCACAAAATATATTTATTTGATGTTGATAATACTAGAAATGGGAATTCAACCAATCCAAGAGAACGCTGTTTAATTTGGTTATGCTTAGCTTATCTTCCCCTATCAAAACAAAGTACAATTGCCAACTTCATTTCCGAAACGATGTACAGACTAAATTACTTTCTATTTATATGCTAATTCTTTCTGATTTTACTGACCATGATGAATTAATCTTTGACAACGACTATTTAATCTTTAAAATTTGTAGAAAATATATCATATACATAGAGTTGTTATGTTTTTATCATTTGTTGTAAATTTTCATATGTATAGTTGCTATTTTTCTATTGTTTGTTATAAATTTTTATATGTATAGTTGTTATTTTTTTATTTGTTATTGTAAATGACCATATGTGTAGTTGTTATTTGTTTATTCTTTGTTGTAAATTTTTACATGTAAAGTTGTACATTTTTTTATTCTTTTTTGTAATTTTTTACATGTAGAGTTCTTTTTTTTTTTTCCTATTTTTTATAGTAAATTTTTATATGTGGAGTTGTATTGTATCTATTCTAAGGGCTAAATGGTCCTTTTACTTGTTTTTTAATTTCATTTTGGGTCAGAGTCCACATTGAGGGACTTAACTGAAGTTTTCCCTTAGAAGAATTAATAAAGTTGGCAATGGCATAGTATAAAATTAAATAATCAATTTTCTGTTTAGTTGGTTTTTAACCAGACCAAAAAAAAAAAAAAAAGCTGCACCTGAGGAACTGGTATATCTAAAGGTGTGTCTCTCTCAAACCAATTACTTCGTCCTTGTATGAAGAATTCAATAGCCCTTTGAACGATGAAGAATTCCACATGATCACCCCAGTGCTGATACTGACTCATCTTCAACACAGAAAATAACAGAGTAACAAGCAGAAAATTTAGATAAGCAAACATACATTAATTACCTTGTGCTGGTGCAGCTATAGTAATAGATGAATCCAAAGAGCCACGTAGGATTAAAGATGCTCTCAAGTCAGACTAGTGGAGACAAGCTATGAAAGAGGCCGAATATAATACTCTGATTAAAAAACAAAGCATGGTTAACTGTACCTTACATAGGAGAAGGCAACGTGGTTTATTGTAAAAGGGTATTCAAGCTTAAAGGAGAAGCCAGATGGCTCCCAAAACAAAGCCCAAAGCCAGACTAGATGTGAAAGGTTTTCTACAAAATCCAGGGATTGAATTGGATGAAACATTTAGCCCAATTTCGAAAACATCTTCACTGATGTTTGTGCTTTCTATTGACATTAATAATGCCTTCTTAAATGGAGTTCTACAAGAAAATGTTGATGGTCCTTGCTTGTTGAGATCTTATAGTCTATAAAAATTAAGCATATATTATCAGAGTTAAATAAGGAATTTAACCAGAAGTGTCTGAAATTCTCATCCATTCTTAAACATGATCTAAAGGCTCCGGCCTTGTGCTATTAACTTCAAAATCAATGCAATTGAGTGAAGAGCTGAATAAGTTGTTTGAATATCAGCTGGTTCCGGATTATAGTCGATAGAACCTCCGATGCCCAAAAAACAAAAAGTTGTATAAAACCTCCAAGTCCATGACCACTTCTGTGTGCTTGTGGGCTAAGCTGATTAAGTGATTAGCATTTGTTCTCTATGCTAACATTCTGTGTGCAGTTGTAAGTCATGGTGTATAGATTTGCATATTTGACAGAGTGAAGGTTGTTTGAATATTCGTTTTTACCTTTTACCTTTTCTTTTCTTCTATCGATAGACTTGAAAACCAACTTCCTTTTCCCATTTTCCAGCACAGTATTCGATTTCTTCAACAAATTCTCAAAACAGGAAATCATATTTTCTAGAGTGGCTCATTAATCATTACTGCAAAAGAATTTGAACTTTCATATTGTTTTATTTTTCTTTTTCTGATTATCATGTTAACTCTTGGTCCACTGTTTTTTCCCCTCAAAAAACCTTGGTAGCATGTGGTTTTGTACGTGATTTGCTAGATGAAAATCATCATGATCTGTATATGTTTTGACACCCAGTAGTGAAGTTAACACTCCTCAGTTTTCTGAGCCGTCTCATACTATGCAAGTTGATGTTGCGGCTGGATCAGATGGTATAGAACACGGAGAAGTAAATTCTTTTAGAATAAGTTTTCAATCATTAATAAATTACTCTCCATAAATTTTAGAGATGCGCTAATTTATTGAATTGAATTGGTGTGCTTTTCTCACCTTCCCCTAATAGAAAATACAGCTTTTGTGTGCTTGTATAGTTTGATGTCTTTTTCCCTTTCTGCTTTTAGCCACGCTAGAGCTCCACTTTTAATTTGCTAGAGCTCTCTGAATTTTGAAGCTTCTTCTTATCCATTAATTTTTTTTTATTTTCATATTATAGTTATTGAATATAATTAAATCAATTTGGCCACGCTTTGGAGCAGGTGTAATGTAATATGACTTCCCATCCTGTTTAGTGATTATACTGATCTAAGTTTAGAATTTTGGCTTTGAAATTTTGAAAAAGATTTAGCGTTTAGTGTGGGAATCTACCCTTCCAAAATGAATTTAAGGTGTAAGAGTGCAGAAATCGCTTGGCTTATGGGGTATTATCTTATGAATTCAGCAGCTGCTTGTTTAATTACCAAGTGGTGATATATGGTTTGATTCATTAATATGTTTCCCTTTAATATGTATTCAAGACTTTAACATCCTTTCAGATATTACTAATTCAGTGATTAAGTCATCAAGTTATCAAAAAAAGTGATAATTTGCCAATACTTTTCTGTATCAAGTTTTTTGGCCACTATACTTATCAGTCATGCCATATTTTCTTATTTGTTCATATTTTTCAAGTACCTGACACTGATTCTATTGATTTATTTTTGCTGATCCTGTTTTGCATGTTCCCTAACTTTCACAACCAGGAATTGCAAGCAGGAATCACAGGTTATAAAGCAGCGTAGTTTACCTCTGGTATGGCAAAGGTCATTCTTACTACTCATTTTCTGTTTTGTGTTGATTTTCTCTCCTATCTCTTTAGGCGATTTGCCTTTGACTGAACAAAAAATCAAAGAGGGACAAGGTGTTCATTTAAACAAATGCGCCGTCATGTACAACTGGCTTAAAATTTTTATCTATGCTCACAAGATTTTAGTGAATAATAATCCTGTTTAGGTGGATGATGATCGGAAAAATCCCCTGCCCTTCATGGGGCAGGAAGACATGCTTTTTGCATAAAATTATGAAGAACTTTGAGCTTCTTTATGTATTTTAAATAATGAGGTATATTTGATACTGTGATCATCATTGTAATGTTGGACACAGAATCAGGATTTCAACTAGGAGTGGCATTCTAGTTGCTTGTGGCAATGCGAAATGCACTACTGATTTGCTTTATAATGGTCTTTATGATAGACAATTTCGTATATAATCCACTCAACATGATAATAAGCGACATTTTCATTGGAAATGACGTCCCTGAAAAAAGTTAGCACAAAATTGGGTTTCCGACACAAATGAAGGTTTTCATTTGAGCAGAGGGCTCTGTGTTTGGTACGGGACAAACCGCCACTAAGTTGTGGCACTTTAGTTGCATGCTGCTTGGCACCAAGTGGCATACTTGGATACGAGGAGTCCCATGTGGCTACAGATGTGGCAGTGATTTTTGAGAATTCTCTCTTCTTTTGGGAAGCTCCTCCTCCTGCCTGCTTCTTTTATCCAACCAAATACTTTTTTCAATAGAGTTTCCCTATTATCTCAATAAAGGTTTCAAAATGAACACCGAAAGATGAAATCAAGGCATCAAGAGTAATTTTATTAACTAATATGAAGATAGTCAATAGGTGAGAAAATATAGTGAATGACTCCTGATTTTAGCATGAATTTAAATGCTAGGGATTTTATTCATTTTAGCTAACAGTTCAATATTGACCTATTTTCATTTCTTACCATTATCTTTTGAAATTTGGGCCGTAATAGATTGATATGATTTAAATCTTATCTCTAAATTGATGTAAAAAATAAATTATCTCTTATCTAGCTTGCTTGTAGTTAATTACACCTTTTAAATTATATACATAAACTATACATTTTATTTCAATTATTGTTCTTCTATACCTTTACATATAGATCACAAAAATGAATTTTGTTTCATACATCTATCAAGAACTCCAGGTTCAATCGTGACCAGTCTCATTGAACTAATTAATAATCTGAATAACTTAATCACACAGTTCTTGAATGAAAGCTTCACAATCACAGCACACCAATTTCTGAGTCTTCCATCCATGAGAATCATAATACACAATGAAACAAACCACACTTTAAGGGTAGAGTTTTGACCTGCAGGGCCAAGTCATTCATCACCCAATTTATTGGTATGAACATTGTTTATCATAAAAACAGTCTCATTTATCAAATAACAGAGAATTCAACAAAAGCATCAACGCACAAACACCTGTCCACGTTCATCATCACGTGTCAACATCATCACCAAGAGTACCTGCATTAATCAAGCAAGGAAAATTAAAAGAATATTAAGGTTCTATATGTGTATATTCTACGTATCCACGATATCACATATAAATTATTTTGTAGTCAACGCATAAAAAATTATGTTTTTTATGATTTTTTTTTTGGTTAATATGTTTTTTTTATGATTCTATTCTGTAAATATATCACTTTTAGGCGGGAAAATTGGGTTAAAATAGTTGGGGGTCTTCTTTCCCCCCCCTAATATGCCAGCTGTTTCTTTTCTCCTTAATCACAGTCAATCTTGTTAAAATAAGCAAAAGTCATTCACTAAATCAACCGATACAATAGAGAGGGGATGTGGGCAAACGAATGAACATTGACATGCATAAAAACTTTTTAAAAAAACACACACACAGACACACAGAGGAAGATGGATCCTCTGTTTCATTCCTTAATTAACATATGTAGCAGTTGTTGATATTATTATAGTAATTACTATTGGAAAAAAATATTAAAATAAATTTTAACAAGAAACTGTGTTTTTTAGTGATAGGAAAGCACAGACGAATGTAACCAAAAAGATGCAAATAATTTAAGAAAAGAAAAATTGGCGTATAGTGGCAAAAAAAGATGCAAGTTTTTTTTTTTTAATGCTTCATCCCTTCATATATGAGGCTTTTATTGATATCATAATAACTACTAGAGGAAATCATAGACAATAAGCAGGAAAAATCATAAAACTAACGAACCTGAAAATGATAACATGAATGATGTACTTATCCTTCTGTCAATTAACGCTGTCCTGCAATACCAAGTCATACTATTAGTTTGTCTGAAAAAAATGTAATTTTATCACCGGAAAAAATAAAAAGAAATATAATTGGCATAAGTACGGTATAATCAATTTTCTATTTGCGCTTAGTCATTAACTATACATGTTTGAAAACAATATTTGTTTGTGTGTATATATCATACCTTTGCTGAGCATAGCATTTCTATTGTTTTGTTAAGGTCTCCTTCATCCTCCCATTCCATGTCACATCCTTCTATTTTCACTTTAGATAACTTTGGTGTTTTCAACACTCCGGGACCAAGTTTTTTCATTTGAGGGCATCCAGTTATTTTTATCTCTTCTAATTCTGGGAATTCGAAGGTGAGACTTTGTGAAGCAAACATCTTTAAGCTTGGCAAATCAGTAAGTACGATCCTCTGCAATTGGTTGAAAGTGATTCCACCTTCTACATCTTCATTGGTCTCATTCATTACAATTTCCTCCATCTTTTTGCAATCATTTATGGCCAACCATTCAAGACTCACCAAGCTTTTGGCAGTTGAACTTGTCACTAAATGGATAAGCTGATGACATCCAGATACAGATAGGCTTCTCAAATTTTCAAATGAAGCAGAGGATGGTGCCAACTTGACCAAGTTACAACAACTTTTGACACTGAGAGATCTTAGATTTTGATGAATTGGTGGTAGTTGAAAATCATCCTTCCATATACTCTTGAGCTTACCCAAATAGAAAATGTGTAATACCTTAAATGGAGGGATTTTCCCCATAAAATCAATAATCTGGTCCAGTGAGGGGAATATCTCCTCAAAGGAACTGTGCTGCACACGAAGCAAACGCAACTGAGGAAATCTTTCAAGGGAGCTATAGGGAAAGGTTATCCCATCATCCTGGAACTTTTCTATATAAAGAACTGTCACTCTAGGAAAGACATTCCTTATCGTTGTGATATTCTCTGCATTTAAGGCCATATCTGTGGTTGTGAAAATTACCTATAAAAAAATTAATAAAACAATCACCATAATTAGTATGCGACATAGTAAATTAGATCAAGATATTTTTCAAACAAATATATATTTTTCATCATTTTCCCTAAAAATCACATCCATTCATTAAAATTAGAAAAAAAATTAAATTAATTTTATTATTCGCTTTTTTATTTTAAATTACATGAGGATAAAAAAGCAATCATTTCCTTGAAACTCACATTTAGATTTAGGCTTTTGATAGCCAAAGTTACATATAAAAGGATTATTGATAAAATTATTACTATAAGACGCCAGTTTAATAAATTAGGTCAAGATATTTATTAAAATAATAATTTTGCGTTTTTATTGTATATAAAGTCTTTGTTAAACAATCGGTCAATTTTTTCTAATATTTATATTAAGTCTTGTTGTTGGTGATTTTCCCTCTAAAATCACATCAATATTTTAAAATAAGATAAAAAAAGTCTTTGACTCATTTTATAGCTCCCTTTCTTTCTAGTAAAAAAGTGCCAAACTTGCAACACCATTTGCAGTTTACGACATTCATTTATCACCATTTGCGTGCAATTAGAGTATTGTAAAAGTTTATAATTTATGGGAGACGACAGAGCAACTTCAATATTTGTATTAAATAGTTACCTCATCCTAAATTTTGTAGATGATGAAGAATTATTTAAAAAGTAGAAAATAAGAATGTCATGTACCTCCTGAGTCATAAACCGATGTTGGATGGTGTTGTTAAGATCGGTCATCCAAATATCTCTATGATGATCAACTATATCTCTACGTACTCGAATGCTTTGAAGATGCGAGGCATAAATGGCTCCTGGACAGAACATTGTGAGTCGAGGACACTGTGTTATAGTTACACATTCTAATAATGGGAACCTGAAAGTATAACTGTGGCCACTAAATCTCTTCAATGTTCGTAAATAGTCAAGTTCCAAAAGCTTCAGTTTGCTAAAAAAGATTTCCTTGTCCTCATCATCTTCTCCATCCTGCTTCATTACAATTTCTTCCATCTTATGGCAGTAACGTATCTCCAATGTTTCAAGATTCACCAAACTTTTGGCAGTTGAATATGTCATTAAATAGACGAGCCGATTACAGAGGGACAGCTTGAGCACCGTCAAATTGGCAAGGCAGAGTTCCCTGAACGGTGGAATTTGATCAACACTAATGCGTGCATTATGTGATGGGAATACCTCCTCAAAAAAACTATCCTTCACATGAAGTTCACTCAGTTTCGGAAATCTTCCAAGCAATGTGTACGGAAATGTTACTCCTTCACCAACAAATCCTTCTATGCGAAGAATTTCCACGTGAGAAAAACAGTCCACTGGAAATTGGTCATTCCTTATCATGCTGACACCATCCTCATCTAACACCAGCTCTCTTGTACAGACAAATCGCTGTAAAACGATTATAGGCAAAGATATATTATTCAACTATAACTACATAATTTAATATTTTGTACTGAGAAATGTTTATAAATAATAATGTCCTATTTTTATATCACGTAACTTCATATTGAATCAGTAGCGTGGCAATAATAATTTATTTTTTATTGAATCCCAAAGTCAAATACGCTCACTGGCTAGAAGAAAGAAAACTACGAATAATTTTGTTGCCCATTATCTTCCGAATCAAAGAAAGTGTCACATATTTTAAGTCCATTATTGGAAAAGAAATGACGATATCAACTACTACAAAAAGAGAATAATAATACTAAAACATTCTGCTCTATATCCCATTAATTAATTATGACGAAATTTTTTGTGGTGTTTAATTGGTAATTAAAGTGACGTAATAAGATTATACTTACAAGTTTAGTAGAATCTCTAATTAAACCAAAGTATGTATAGGGAGATTTATATTAAATATCATAAACATGGAAATTTTTTATGAGTACTTTTGTAAAATCTGGAAATAGAAAGAATTAAGCATGCTAGAGGCACCTGTTGGTGGATCGTTTTGTTAAGGTTGGTGTCCCAAATTTCATGACGTTTTCCTTCATCGTTTGACAACTGAATGCTTTGAAGAGATGGGGTATCAATAAGTCCTGGAGAGAATATTTCCAATTTTGGACATCTTTTTATGATCAGAGCATCCAATAATGGAAACCTGAAAGTATAATTGTGGCCGCAAAATCTCTTCAATCTTGGACATCTTTCAAATTGCAAGTACTGCAATTTGTTGAAAAAGATTTCCTTATCCTCATCATCCTCTCCTTCATGCTTCGAGATGATTTCCTCTATTTGACGGCAGCGACCAATTGAGAGATGTGTGAGATGGACCAAGCTTCGAGCAGTTGATGACGTCATCAAAATGGTCAGCTCATAAGAAATTGTCACTGTAAGATGTGTGAGATTCGGTAAAGAAACTAAGGATGGTGCCAAGCTTGTCATGTTGTGAAGATTCTGGAGAGTCAATTTTTTTGGAAAGTGAACTTGATCCCCTCCAGAAGCCTCCTTAATGTCACCACCCAACTCTAACTCCTCTAATTTTGGAAAGCTCTTCAACAATGATTTGTACGATATAGTTGTGGCTTTCTTTACATAAAGATGAAGCAGTTTTACTTTGGGGAAGTGGTACGCTGGAAACTGGCCACTCCCTATCATCTCAGCCCCTTTACCATCCAATCTCAACTCCTCCAAATTATGAATATCCTGCACAATACATAAATAGTAACTAATTGTACCAATTAATTAATACGTACGTCAAAAACCATCTGCGATTTTCATGAGGGTATCTTCAAATTAAAATTTGATGCATCCACAATTTTCACATACGTATATTTTATGAACTTCAAATATGAACTATAATAAATTAAAATAAATAATATAAATTTTCGGCATCTGGAGTTACGATAATTGGTTATAATGACACACAGACATTATACCTCCCTTCTTTTTAGAAAATAAAATATTATATTAAAGCTTATAATGTCTAAGGGGGAGGGGGGGACCATATTATCCCCTCGCCTGATTCAACGACACACCTCTTTTATGTGAGGATGAAAGCTGAGGATTGGAGTTCCTCTTTCAAAAAGAAAGAACAGAACATTATTTGCAAAATCTATTAATTAAAATAATTATAATGAATTTTTTTTAAAAGCCACTCATAAAATAATCCTAAGCAGCACTATATTCTAATAAATATTTTGGTAATTGGAGTAATTCATATATTTGTATACTCAAAAGTATCAAATTCAAGTGTTTTTACGTTCTAAAACAAAATAATTTGATGCTTCATTATTTATTTTAATGTTTCAAGTTAGTTTTGCTCTTTTATTAGCTTATTTTTAAAACGAATAAGACATGAATAGCTAATTTAGAAATGTACCTTGTGATGGGACAGTAGATGATATTTTGAGTCTAGTGTGCTTTCTTCCTCATGTATTTCAAATGAATTTGAGGCTTCCTTTTCAAATATCTCTAACTCATCGCAATACCTAATAGATAATCGTTGAAGTTGTGGCCATTCTAATGTGTCTTTGTGGATAAAAGTTCTTCAAATTTTTAAGCCAAAAAAGCTGAAGGGAAGTCAGCCTAGGAAACTCAAATGCAGCAACAGCAGATTCTGAAAGTTGGTCTTTTGCAACAATTACATCCGCACCGCAATGATCTATTTGAAGCTCTTCAAGATCACAAAGCATGCCTTTGGCTATGGATGCAGGAAATATACTTGTGAGACTTTCACATCTAAAAACATTGACATTCCTTAGACATGGGAAGGAGACATTTCCTTGGTAGTGATTGCTCCACACATTCTTCAATTTTGGCAATCCACATAGCTTTAACTTCTTCAGTGGCACAACCTAGATTGATGATGACACCGTCTCTCTATATTCATTCAAATCTTCAAAATCAAGCACCATCTCCAACATGTGACAATTCCTGACTTCCAGTTCTTCCAAATTGTATAAAGATTTTAGCACACAAAGGGGCACTAATTTCACAAAGCCACAGTTTTTCACAATCAATATTTTCAAATTGCTAAATGAGGTGTGTGAAAGTTGGTCGTCCCATATCGTTGGAATCAAATTGATTGAATTGGACAATTCCAACCTCTCTAATTTTGGAAGTAACACCTGTTGAAAGAAAATATGATTCTGAGCTGACCAAGCAATTTTAACTTACAAGTTTTTTTTTTCCGAAATGGAAATTAAGTGAAAATGAAAGTCAAAATCTAACTTTGGAAATTACATGAATTTTTGCATAAGGATATTACCCAAAACATCTGACAACGAAAACATTAGTTATTTCCTTGAAATCATAGTGAATTATCTTGTTCATAAAAATCTGTTGCAGTTCCGACTTTGGTGTTCAGAATTTTAAAAACAGATTCACATAAACTGGTAACATATGATTTTTTTCCCCCCAAAAATCAAATAGAAATAAACTCCGAAGAAAATATCATTAGATGCTCAACGCCCCCTAAACATTTGGGGGGGGGGGGAAGGAACGATGACCAGCAACTTTGTTTCAATAGTATTCAAAAGTTGTACAATATTTATATAATTTACATACCACAATCGTCAAGCCATATGATATTTCAACCAGTTATTTTTACAAAAATCAACACCAGGTTAAACAACAAACAGAGAATAACAAAGAACAAGAATACAAATATCATCTCAGCACAAAATAAAAAAAAAGTCAACACTTGGTTGAAAAAATAACAAAGAAAAGAATAAAATGAACCCAAATGAAAAAAGAATCCAGAATGGGAAGCAAAATCGAAAAACTTACCAAGAGCTACGCTAGCAACCAGTTGTTGTGAACACATTGAAAAGGAGCAGACAGAGGCAGAATGGGTTACCAGAATGAAAAGGAGAACAACCATGAATAGAACAAAAGCGTAAAGGAGTGTAAGAGGCGACACTCATGGCGAGCTGAAGAAAACCCCTGATGAGAGCCAAGCTAGGCGAGACCCACAGACAAAGCCGAAGATGAAGGCAAGAGAAGAAGAAAGTAAAGCGAGCACGGGACTCATAGGGCATTGAAGAAAATCGCTGGTGAGACCCAACGAAGATCCCAGATAAAGACGAAGATAGAACAACAGCAAGGCAAAAAGTGATCAAGCGGAGTGGATAGGCGCCCGCAAAAAGTAAGGCTTTGTTTGGTTCAATGGAGGGGAGGGGTGGGGAGGGGAGGTGAGTTAGGCTGGGGAGGGGAGGAGAAGGTAGGTTATGAGTTTTGTTTGGTTAAAGGAAAAGAGAGTGGAAGGGAGATTTCTTATTTGATTTAAGAAAAAAAAGAGGGGAGCGAATTATAAGTTAAAAAATATGTCCTTATCTCTTTATGATATTTATATTATAATTATTATTTTGTAATTTGTGAATATAAAAAAACTACATATCTTGAGACATAACAAATAGATTATAAATAATCATATATCAAAATAAATGTCAATCAAAAAAATATATTATAATCTTTAGCATATTATATAAATTATAAATAAATTTATGCCACAAGTTTTGAATTATTCCATCCTTAATTACATAATGTGTGCAATCTCACATGCTTAATTAGATAATATACAGAGTTTTGTGTAAAAAAATAAAATTGAATTAAAATAGATATATATGGACATGCATATCAATGAATTTGGTGTTGATAATATCATTTTAGGGGTTGTTTGGATGAAAACCAAATTATGGTTTCAAAAGTGCTTTTACGGTTTACGAAGTAAATATGTGGAGGAGTTTATCTCGTTTTGCGGAGAAGCACTTTTGAGAGTTGCCAAACACCCCTTTAATAGATCTCAAGTACTTCAACTCATATAAACCAATAAAGAATAACTTTATGCAGAATAAATGAATAAAAAATACTGATAAGATGAATGAGGGAGGGATCAGGCAAGATGAAAAGATGGGGAAGATTAATGGCAAAGAGCATGGGAAATGATCAAATCAGAGGAAGAAAATATGCAGGAAAAAAAAAGAACATCTAAGGAGTAAAAAAATCCGTGGAAGAATAATAGGGGCTGAAAAGAAAAAAAAAGTATAAAAAAGGTAAAGAGTAAAAAAAAAAAGTTTTTACTAAAAAAGATAAATTTAGAACATTCAAAAACTATAATGAGTAATTTAATCAGGATGAGACATAATAT